CTTTTGGGGATATGAATGAGGCTCACTCATTCCTAACAGGTCAAAAGTTGGCGTGAGAACTGAACCGGGGGAAGGGAAATTTTTAAGCTGAAGTTGATGTTCGAATGGAGCGGCGGGACACTTTGGGCGAATGATGACCGAATTCGCGATCGCTTTAGTGTTGGACCCATTGAAGGCGAGTAGCCTCTTTCTGCAAACTTGCTCAGTAAACTCGGCGAAATGCAAATCTGGAACGACACGGCCCTGAATTGGGATTATCCACCTGACCCTAGCCCTTGGACAGCTGAACAATTTGAAGAGTTTGATGAAGCCGGTTTAAAAACCAAATCTCAAATTGAAGACGAACTGGGCCCGGACTTTGAAATGATATATCAGAAACTCTAACTATCCCAATCATTCCAAACATAGTGCACGCGGCCTACCTCGCCTTTTTCTAGGTCGCCTGCGGGGATTGAGAAATGAACAATGCCGACATCTGGATTGGTGCGCAGGACAGCAAAGCGGCGAGCATTCGTATCGGGAGAGGGGTCTTCGCCGCTCGTCCCGCGTAGGTAACCGCCAAATCCCAAACCCGAATTTGAGCATTGATCCATGACGGCATAATACAAATCGCTAAAGGGCTCTCCGTATCTGCATTTCGGGATTTCAGAGGCGAATGGGCCGCTCGTTGCGTCAGGCAATGAAAGACATTCTGTCAGTTCAAACTCATGGGCCGGTGCAGGCGTATTAACTGTCTCGCCGATTTTATCTTCGATTAAATCCTGGGGCGCAGCGCGGCGGGTCAGCGGCTTGGTATTATCCCAGGGCTTGACCACCGTCTCGACAATGCCAAGCGCATTAACTTCGGATATGGCAAATATTAAAAATCCTCCGGTCTTAGGAAGGTCTTGTCCAAAAGCGGTGCCGTTGAAATCCTCGAAAGCAAATTGCCCAACGAATGCGCAATGATTTTCGAGCGGCAGTTTCTCTTTAGCTTTATACCAATTAGAGACCTCGGCAATTTTTGGCCACGCTTCACCCTCCGGCAAATCCGGCAAGCCCCACAGACGGCTTGTGCCGATATCTGGCTTGGTCACCATTTTGGAATAGGTTAGGGCGACCGCAGGCCGTAACCGAGCGAACATCAAATCCCGGAGAGCTTCCATATCACCCCTGAGGTGCATCTGCGCATTATCGATAAAGACTTTCAGGAGCGGGACGGCCAACATTCGCTGCCAATGGGTCTCACCTACGACATCACCCAGCACATCTGCGTTAAGCGTCTGATACGCCTCCAAGCTCGCACGAACAGTGTTGGCGCGGCCTGTGCCCCCATTCGCTTCCAGCC